AATCATCTCAATGTATGTTTCATACTATCAACTCTTTATAATTTTTACTAATATTGATTGATAATTAGAGATCGATATTAATCGCGCGTTGCACTAGTGCATTGGAACACGAGATTAAAAAAAAAAAAACACATCAACTTAAAAAGTACATTGTTTAAACGCGAGATATTTATCACAAAAAATTAAAAAATATATTCATAATTTATAAAATTTAAAGGTTGTGCAAAATCAAATGCTACGCTTAATCTTAAAAATAAAATTAAAAAAAATACAAAAAAAAGACACCGGGATGACACATGTCATTCCCTGGTGCTGTTTTTTCCCTCCAAAATCCCCCTTCCTTTCTCTCTTTTTTTTGTTTTTTGTTTTTTTTCCTTTTTCCTCTTTTAGCCAATGCCACATATTATAATTTATGTACAGTATATATATTCCCCAGATCTTATAATTGTGGTAATTTTGATTCACATACTAACTATGTCTGTAATAAAATATTTTAATATCTTTATATCTTATAAATATTACAGATAGGCGGTCGCACACCTAACAAAAATAATAAAAACCTAACTAAACCTCCTTATATATAGTAGGGTAAGTCAGGGTCGATCCACAGAGAAGGTTGGACTAAAATGGTTTCTATGAATTACAATAGCCGAATCAAGATAAAATAATGAGTTGAATAATATATACTATGAACTAACAAAATAAATCTAATAATAATAAAGACTCTAGAATTAAGTATCACCGCTAATATAATCAATACAAGATAAATTCCTACCCCAACCAATTAATTATATATTCACAAGGAAAAGTAATCCCTAGATAATACCAATGGTCTCTCTCGAGTTATCATTGGCTTCTCTAACCCACAATCAAGCCTATTCTCATGGAATCATGCAAATTAGAGACATTAAGCACATTACTCTAACTTCCTGATTATCCATTCAACTACTCTCGCGATGAATATCAAACCCTTAATTGATCTATTCAAATCTGTTAAAACCCAACTCTCGCTGCGATTAAAACAATGGAATAATAATAATACTAATTATCTCTATCTAGTATTGGCATAAGCGCAATCAATTAAGCATGAACAATATAAATAATTAATTGAGAATTTAAAAGAATAAATCAAGTATTAACCATATTAGGGTTCAACCTAAATCTAGAACAACAATCTACTCTAACATATTTAAAAAAACAAGAACAATAAATAACAAAGAAAACATGAATAAATAAAGAGAAGAGAAAAATACCGGATCTTGAATACAAAGGAAAATATAAAAACTAGAGAGAAAACTAGGTCTAAAAGTCTCCTCCCTAAAATAAAATAATTAAGGAGTATTTATAATAAATCTAGAGCTATAAGGTAAATAGGAAATAAAGAAATCCTAAATTGACTAAAAGTACTAAATAAGGCGTGGGCGTGCTTTTCAAATCAATAATAAGCCCTTCGTTGAAGCACGGGCGTGCCCCTATGAGGCACGGGTGTGCCTCTATAGCAGAAACTTTGGGTTAATTCTTTCGCGATGAGGCACGGACGTGCCTTCTCTGCTGCGCGTATCACTCATCTTAAATCAGTCATAACTTCATATCCAGAGCTCCGTTTGAGGCGTGTAATATATTGTTGGAAAGTTCTTCAAGTCTACTTTCCAATGAAATTTGAATCACTCCATTATCATTTTTATATCAAAAGTTATGAGCATAATAGTGAACATGTGTCATATTTGTCAAGTATTTCATCAACGTTTTGCTTCATTTTCACTCAAGTTCGTCTCGAATACATGATTTGATATTCTTAAGCAATATGTTTTCATACTCCATGATTATTATACTCAAGATTAGCCAACCATACTCCATTTGCATATAAATCACCTGAAATTCATCAAAACACACAAACGAAGAGTAGTATAGCACAACTTAAGCAAATAATGCAAATATGCACCAAAGATCTCTAATTTTGTAATCAAATGAGCTTAGATACCCACCTAAAACATGTGCAAAATAGAACCTATCAATTACTATGTATGGCATACTTTCATATATAGCATAATACATCATATATTATTCTTACAAATTATTAAATGAAATATATTTTAAATAAGATAGTTTTGTTACAATATTAACAAACTGATGAATCTATTAAACTACATTCGTATCACGTACTACACAAATTATTATTATTATTTTTTTTTGAAAGATATTATTATTATTATTATTATTATTATTATTATTATTATTATTATTGTTGTTGTTATTGTTGTAGCAGTATTATTTTTCATTGAGAAATTTTAAAATATTTTTTCTTAATAGGAATCCTCCTACTAATACCATATATCTTGGACAAAAATAACATTATTCTATTTTTTTAATTTCCAAGTATTTATGTATTAGGTATTTATGTTTTCCATTATCACACAGTGTATTAAATGCACAATATCATTGAAATTTTTAGACACTCGTATAGTCATATCACTCATATGGCCTAGATGTAGTTTTAATATACTCATGGTTTAATCGACTCTATCTTTCCAAATAAGAAGAAAATAAATACATAGTATGTTGTAACATAGTTTGTATTTTATCCATGTTATTTTTATAAAAGATAAACTGATTTTAATTTAATGAGGTGAAATTACCATATATGGCGCGGGACCTAACCTAGTAGCAGACCGAAAGATGTGCTTCCGTCTTCCAACATTTCATCCCGCTTGAAAGAACAAGAATTTTAACTTTAAAAAAAAAAAAAAAAGTGATTGCAATTATCAGTGCAACGTTAAGCCCAAGTGATTACAAATTACATTATCCAGCCCACAAAGTAACAATGTATGGGCTTTAACTTTGTTATTATTAATAAGGGAAAATAATGTAAATAAATATATTTAGGGTTATAAATATCTATAAATTTTTAAATGAACATGGTTCACATTAATTTATTATGAACCACTAATATTAGTGACACTATATCGTTTTATAAGTAAAAAAAATCAGTATGTAAAAATAAATGTTATTCTGTTAAAATAAAAGTTATTGTGTAATAAAAGTCATACGAGGTAATTTTTTTTAATGAAAGTTTTAATAAAATGGTCAATATGAATAATATAGGTCACTATGAAGTCACTATGTTCAACATAATGTCGACTGAAATATGCGAAATTCAGATTCACAATAATATTAAAAGTCACTCAAGTTTTAGTAAAGATCACTATATTAAAATTAAGGTCACTATATTTAACAATATGTCAGTTGAGTGCGTATGGACCTTGGTTCACAATAATATTATTGTGAACCAGGTACACACAAGCTTTAGGCATAAATATCCGCATACTACTTTTAATAATTATAAAAAAAAAAAACAATTAACGATGATGAATGCAAATAAGTAATATTTTTTTAAATAATAATAATGTCCAAATAATATAAATTTATCTCAAAATTTTTAAAAATCAACTTGTTTTGTGTGCGGTGGGTCACATTGTATGGCCACTTGTAAAAGAACAAAGTAATCCTTATAATATTGACCGAGTAATCCTTGTAATACTGGCTGAGTAACCCATTTAACTAAGTAACCCCTACAACACTGACGAAGTAACCCTTGCAACACTGACTAAGTACTCCCTGTAACACTAACGAAATAACCCCCATAATAGCTGGCCATACAGTGTGACTAGCCACATATAAGAATTTGTGTTTAAAAAGTAGGGGGAAAAAACAAATCAAGACACATGTACGTGCCGTAGAATTCAATATTCATCATTTGTTACCCACATTTAAGGCTTTAAAATGGTGACCCATTTAAATTTTCATCCCTAACCCCTAGTGGTGGATTTAGAAATTTTGGGTTTGCACATGTTACATAAAAAAATTAAAAAATTACAATTGAAGTAGATGAGTTTTGAAAACGATATATTACACTATTAATTTCATCATCTGAACAAAAAATAATGTCGTATAGAAGAATTGAACCCGTGACCTTTGATAGAGATAATTTAAAAATAATTTAATTTCTATCTTTTTTAGTGGTAAGGCACACTCTAGGACACAAGCTAACTCCGTCTATGATTTTATATTTTGTAAGGAGTACTTTACTAAATTTGATATGAGTAGACCTAAACTGAATGATTTTTTTTATCAAATTCAAAATACAACCCAGGATAAATTGACCAACCCATACGGCCAAATCCAATACTTGAAAATTACGATAGGAGAGTATATAGGATTAATGATTATCCCTAAAAAAAATCAGTTAAATAAACTAGATATATATACGGGTAAATATTTGAAAAGAAAAAAGAAATGATGAAAAGTCTAGAAAGCGCGGAAACACATTCCAAAACCCTCCATCTACTACGTGTCTACGTACATTCAAGAATTGCCGCCATAAAACCAAAGAATTATCCCGAAAATCCCCCTTTTTTTCTCCCCTATATAAAAACCTCTACTCTTCCTTTCTCTCTCTTCATCGGAAAACAAAATTTATCTGCATTTCTGCTAATCCATTCACTAATCATCAACTCCTCAATTTCTCGATTATCTACTAAGAACTCATCAATGGCGGACGTTGAGATGTCAGGCGAAAGAGAGACCTTCGCATTTCAAGCAGAGATCAACCAGCTTCTCAGTGTAATCATCAACACTTTTTACAGTAACAAGGAGATTTTTCTTCGTGAACTCATCAGCAACTCTTTTGATGTAAGTTTCTCTCTCCTCAAATTCTTCAAAATTATAATGAATTTGTAATGTTAATTGATCGATTTTGATTTTTTTTTTTGACTGATTTTTTTTGTTCTGTTAGATTATGTAAATAATCTTGTGTAATTTAGTTTGTAAATTACTTTTGTATCCTTACTCATTAACCCTAGAATACTTGTGTATATATGTTGATCATTAATCAATGAGAAAGGCACGACAAATATTCACATATTCTCTCATGGTATCACGAGCTTAGGTTTTTCGATCCGAAACCCTAATTCTCTTCTTCTCTTCTTGTTCGGATTACCTCCATGGCCGAAACTCAGAAAATTCATCCTGCTACCCTAGTCACCAATATCAAGACTTGTATTCCTATCATTCTTGATTATGATGGCACCCAATACAACACGTGGTCTAATTTGTTCGAACTTCATTGCCGTACGAACTTGGTCCTCGACCATATCATTCCACCTGTTGCTGATGGGAACGAACAGGCTTCTGCTTCTTCTGAGAACGCTCAATGGCAACGACTTGATGACATCGTTCGTCAATGGATTTACAATACCATCTCCACTGACCTTCTTAATTCCATAATCGATCCCGATGACAAGGCTATTGATGCTTGGAATCGTTTGAAGAATTTTTTCCTCAATAACAAGTCTACACGAGCATTACACCTTGATGCGCAATTCACCAACACCAAGCTCGAGCATTTCGATGGTGTGAAACCCTATTGTACTCGCCTCAAAACCCTTGCTGACAGTTAGAGGAACGTTGGAGACAAGGTCTCGGACAATAGGATGGTGCTTCAACTCTTGAAAGGGCTTTCGGAGGACTACAAGCCTTTTAGGACTTCTGTACAGCATCGCAATCCTTTGCCTTCTTTTGACACTTTGAGGTCGATGCTTGAACTTGAGGAACAAGGCAATGCTGCTGACGTTGTTGTCGATTCTCATGAGGAGGCTCATGTCTCACAATCACCATCCACGTTTCAACGCACAACCGGGGAATAAGCTCAGAACTCTAGCAATTTTCGGGGTTCAAGCAATCGAAATGGTGGTCGCAAGCAAAATAAAGGCAAAGGGGGTTGCGGAAAGGGGAAGTCTACCGCCGGGAACGGTGGGAACAACCAGCCGCAACAGCACCAGCAACCAGGCGGTGCGTCGCAGCAGCAACAGGGCCAGAGTTGGATGTCCCCCCCTCAATCGCAATTCTGGGGCTATTGGAATCAGCCTCCTTGGCACACCCCACCCTGCCCGTATCCAAGTCAGGGCCCAGGCCCACTCCCTTGGTCTCCAAGGCCAAATCCGCAGCCTGCTTCACAGGGTGTCCTTGGGCCACGTCCACAACAAGCTTATGTTCTGGCAGGTCCACCTTCTTCTTCTTCGGGTTACACACCGACCAACATCGAGCAGGCTATGCATACTATGACTCTAGCCGACCCGAACTATTACTTGGATACAGGAGCAACGTCACATATGTCGAACTCTCAAGGTAATTTATCATCATATATTCCTTTGAGCAAACATACTAATAATTCTATTATTGTTGGTGATGGTAGCAAAATTCCAATTAATGGTTACGGTCATGACTCTTTACACCAAAACATACTACACCTCAATAATGTCCTACATGTGCCCAAACTTGTTAAGAATCTCATTTCTGTTAGAAAGTTCACTAGTGACAATAATGTATCAATTGAGTTTGATCCGTTTGGGTTTTCTATGAAGGATTTGCAGACGGGGAGCACAATAGTGAGATGTAATAGCCATGGCGATCTCTATCCCTTCTTCACCGATCGTCATCTCATTTCAACTTCACATCCGTCAGCTTTTGCAGTTGTGTCTCCTAGTATGTGGCATTCCCGGTTAGGTCATCCGGGAAGTGTAATTTTAAGTTCCTTGCGTAATAGTAATCTCATAAATTGTAATAAGGCTTCACGGCATGTTTGTCATTCTTGTCCGTTGGGAAAATTAATAAAACTGCCTTTTCATGATTCTATGTCGCATACTACTATGCCTTTTGATATTGTTCACAGTGATTTATGGACTTCTCCCGTAGTTAGCTCTCTTGGTCACAAATATTATGTTCTATTCCTTGATAATTACACGAATTTTCTGTGGACCTTTCCTATCCCATCTAAATCCCAAGTCTACAACTTGTTTCTTCGTGTACGAACATACATTAAGACTCAATTTGAAAGAGAAGTAAAATCATTCCAATGTGACAATGGAACGGAATTTACCAATACTCCTTTTCAAAAATTCGCTGACCAACATGGCATGACTTTCCGCTTCTCTTGTCCATACTCCTCTCCTCAAAATGGCAAAGCTGAAAGAAAAATAAAAACGATCAACAATGTCGTTCGTACCCTTCTTAGTCATGCCTCTATGCCACCCACCTTTTGGCATCATGCCTTAGACATAGCTACATTCCTCCACAACATCCTTCCTACAAAAATTCTTGGCTACAAATCTCCGACTCAAATCCTATATCAAAGGCATCCCGACTACTCTCATCTACGGGTGTTTGGTTGTCTATGTTACCCCCTCTTACCTTCTTCTAAAATACACAAGCTTCAATCTCGTTATACTCCCTGTGTATTTCTTGGCTATCCATCTAGTCATCGGGGTTACAAGTGTTATGATATATCGAGTCGTAAGATTATAATAGCTCGGCATGTTTGGTTTGATGAGTCGGTTTTTCCTTTTTCTAACATTCACACGCCTACTCCTCACACATACGATTTTTAGATGATGTCTCAAATCCTCTAATTAATCCCGTAGTTAGAGACCATATGCTAGGCGCCCATTCCTCACCAAAAGCAGCCAACCGGACTGCTCCGCAGCCTGGCTGCGGTGAACCCTCCTAGACCGCACCCTCCTTGCAGAGTGGATTGCCCTCCTTGCAATCCACGCCCCTTAGCTCTTCCTCAGCACCTCACAGCCCGAATCATCCCCTGTCTACTGCTCCTACTAGTGCCAGGCAGCGTGGTCGTGCACCACCAACTGCTATCCCCGCCAGGTCACCAGCAGGAACTAGTATGCAAGGCATTTCACTCGGTGATGCTGCTGGCCAGCACGCTGGTGAGGGCACTGATGAGCAGCCTTCTCGTCCTCTCTCTTCCCCAAATCCCCCACATCCATCATTTCACTCCATGGCTACTCGTAGCAAACATGGAATTGTTAAGCCAAACCCAAAATACCAACACAGTTCCCTTCTTACTTCTACCTCCATATCACCACTTCCAAAAAAATCTCGTACATGCTCTACGTGACCATAATTGGAAAGTTGCTATGCAGGAAGAATATGATGCTCTCATTGCTAATGGTACTTGGGATTTGATTCCAAGGCTGTCTAATGTCAATGTTATCCGCTCTTTGTGGATTTTTCGGCATAAGACTAATTCTGATGGCACGTTTGAGAGACATAAGGCTCGTCTTGTTGGTGATGGTAAATCCCAAAGGGAAGGTATTGATTGTGATGAAAATTTCAGTCCGGTTGTTAAACCGGCAACCATTCGGGTGGTTCTTAGAATTGCTTTGTCTCGCTCTTGGCTGATACATCAATTGGACGTTAAAAATGCATTCTTACATGGTAACTTGAATGAAACAGTTTACATGTATCAACCATTAGGTTTCAAGGATCCCGCTCGCCCCAATCATGTCTTCTTACTCCGAAAGTCTCTATATGGATTCAAACAGGCACCTAGGGCTTGGTATCAACGATTTGCTGTTTTTGTTACTGCTATTGGTTTTTCTAACAGCAAATCTGACACCTCTTTGTTCATTTATCACCATGGTAAAGACATTGCATATTTATTGTTATATGTGGATGATATTGTCCTAACAACTTCATCAGAGTCTCTTCGAAACCAAATCATCTCTCGGCTCAGTTCTGAATTTGCCATGAAAGATTTGGGCGACCTGAGTTATTTCTTAGGTATTGCGGTGACTCGTGACAAGGATGGCTTATTTCTATCTCAGAAAAAGTATGCCAAGGAAATCCTAGAGACTGCAGGCATGGCTAACTGCAATTCATCTCCCACTCCGGTTGATTCTAAAGGGAAAATGCATGCAGACTCCGGTGAGTTATATACAGATCCGACCATGTATCGTCGGCTGTGTGGTGCTCTACAATACCTCACTTTCACTCGGCCTGAGATTTCATATGCGGTTCAACAAGTGTGCCTGTTTATGCATTCTCCGAGAGTTGCTCATATGGATGCTCTAAAACGCATTTTGCGTTATATCCAAGGTACGACTGATTTTGGTTTGCGCTTGTATAAATCATCTGTCACCTCTATCTTGTCTTACACGGACGCTGACTGGGCCGGGTGCCCCGACACTCGTCGTTCCACGTCTGGTTACTGTATTTTTCTTGGTGATAATTTGATTTCTTGGTCCTCAAAACGTCAACCTACTTTGTCAAAGTCCAGTGCTGAAGCAGAATACAGAGGGGTTGCTAATGTTGTTTCTGAGTCCTGCTGGATTCGGAACTTATTACTAGAGCTACATTGTCCGGTCTCTAAAGCTACATTAATTTATTGTGACAATGTAAGCGCTATCTATCTCTCGGGCAATCCGGTACAACATCAGCGCACAAAACACATTGAACTGGATATTCACTTTGTTCGTGAGAAGGTACAACGCGGTGAGGTCCGTGTACTTCATGTTCCGTCAAGGTATCAGATTGCAGACATTTTCACTAAAGGGCTGCCAAGAATTTTGTTTACTGATTTCAGGGACAGTCTCAGCGTTTGCAGTCCTCCCGTTTCGACTGCGGGGGTGTGTTAGATTATGTAAATAATCTTGTGTAATTTAGTTTGTAAATTACTTTTGTATCCTTACTCATTAACCCTGGAATACTTGTGTATATATGTTGATCATTAATCAATGACAAAGGCACGGCAAATATTTACTTATTCTCTCATGTTCGTCGGATAAAATTCGACATGAGAGTTTAACTGATAAGACCAAACTTGATACTCAACCAGAATTTTTCATCAGAATTGTACCAGACAAAATCAATAAAACTCTCACTATTATTGATACTGGCGTCGGAATGACCAAAGCAGGAGCGGAGTACTCTGCTTCATCTCAAATTCTCATTTCAATTCTTTTTCGGCGTCATTAGAATTTTTCGTTATTCGATTACTGAATTGTATTTATTGAATGATGTTTGAATTTATTGTAATTTTACTAAAATGTTTAGATTTTAGGGTTTTTACTTGACTGATTTGGTTTCGTAATGATTTCGATAAATCATAACTACTGTATATATTTTAATCTATCAATTGATTTATGTAATGGAATTTCTGTGTGATTATCTCAATGTCTGAATTAATTTCGGCAGTTGTCAGCCATAAATGTTGATTTGATGAACTTTGCTACATATAAAGTCTTAAAATTACAAATACATAGTATTATTTTCAAAATTCTTGATGAAATCACGTGTCGATTGGTGTTATTATTGGCTATTTATGCTATGATCGCATATACTCGTACTCCATATCATTTTCCTTGATAACATTGAAGTGGTTCGTTTGAATTTGTTTAATTTGCAGTGTTAGAAACTAAAATTGTTAGCCTTCTACGCACAACTTTATTACGAAATACTTTTTCCTTTGCCAAAATTTTGTGTGATGATTAATTTTGGATGTTTTAGAGCTGGAGAATAATTTGGGAACAATTGCGAGGTCCGGAACCAAGGAGTTCATGGAGGCTCTACAAGCAGGTGCTGGTGTGAGCATGATTGGGCAATTCGG